ATGTGCATGCAGAATTCAAGTTCTGCATCAGGTCTAAGGTCCAGAACTGGACGAACAACCAGAACTTTCCATTGGAGTTTACAGCCGATGAACATGACAAAAATAAGAAGACGACAAAATGCTTTGAACTTTGGTTTGTGAATAAATGTTTCTGCATGTTGAAGTTACCTTATGTCCACCCCACCTAAACCCCAGTTGTGCTATGTCTAGTCAGTGTTGTTAAGCAGTTTTATTTGAAGTGTCTCAAATTAGAAACATTCACAGCAGTGTTAGAAAACTGGGTGGCCAGAATTACCCTAAATGTAACAATTTAAGGAAGTTACTTTTTGTCTTTTAACACACTCGATAACAAACAAGGTATCATGCGTTCAGCAGTTGCTTCACAGTTTCTCATATTTTAAACATATTCTCTCATTGACAGTAGTCACACTACGTGTATAGATGTATTGTTCAAGAACTGTCTGTGAGGAATGAGGCAGTATTTTGGATTAATATTTCTAATGTCTACACACTGTATACAGTTGCAACCAGTACAAGAGCAGTTATACAGGCATGGTGGCCACTACTCAAAGACATTGTCTCTATCAAAATCTGCTGCCTTGTCTATCTTTTATGTCCCTGGCATCCCTAATGTTCTGTATCCATTTTTATATCAGTAGACCAGGGCTTCTGCTTCTTGGAACATGCCTCAAATAACTGGGTTTTGTTTCCAATTTACTGTAGCCATTTTGCAGGTATCTCTTAAAAAGGAAGTTGTCTTAGGAACTGAAATAGCAAGTTCATGTTTTATTAAAGTAAAAGTCCTTTTTCGATATGAGGCTAGAGTCACCATTTTTATAGACAGCCCTTGTTAGGTATGTGGTCACCACCATGCCGGCTGCCTTTACTTCCCAGGACTTCACCTGGTACCCATTTCAGGCTGGATTGATATGGGAGCCAAGGCATTGTTTGAAAAAATCTGAAACGGTGTGGATTTGAACCCACAACCTTCTGATCAACAGGCTAGTGTCTAGCCGCTGCACTACGGTGACTCCCATGCTATATAAAGGGAACTGTATAAAACAGATTTTGAAAATGTATGTCAGTCAGTTAAGGTGCACAAAACAGAAGTGTCCACGCAAATTTGATATTTCATTAATTTGTGTCCAGTGAAGCAAAGTGTTTCTGTTTCAGTTACATCTTGTGGTAATTGAACTACCTCTAACACTCTGTTATAATTTTCATCTTTCTGGGAGAAACGAATGTCTTAATTGATCAATAAATGTATGACTTACTTGATTTTGATTGACTTTTTTGCCACTTATGGTTTTTATCCTTCCTTTTAAACTTCAAACAAACAAGAATGGTTGTAAGATCAAATGGTATTCAAGATCCTGCTGATAGATCTTGGTGATCATTAAATGTGTTTTCAACATTTTTCTAGCATATTTGGCTGAAATTTTTCTTTTTAAATGCATTCGATACCAAACAAGGTAGCATTGTTCAGTTATTACTTCACATTTTTCTCGTATTTTAAACATACACTGTCATTGATAGTTGTCACATTACGTGTATGGATGTATTCTCCAAGAACTGCCAGAAACAGAATGAGGCTTAACAACAATGTTCTAATGTAGAAGTGGTCGGCTTCTTAACCAGAACTGAATATGACGACTGACTGGAACTAAGTTAGCTGCATAATATTTACAGGATTTTGCAGGACCAACTTCAACATTTTTTGGTCAGTTGCAGTTTTTCAAGGCAAATTTTGTGTTCAGTAGTTTGCCATATCTTTCTGTTTTGAATGGTCAGCTCTCTATACCATTGTCAAAACCAACGCAAAACTGTCTGCTGCTAAATCATCTGCAGCTAGAGCTAAATTTGACACCCGACTTCAGATGCCGATTTCTCTTGCAAATGGTCTGGAACTGAAAGAGTTAATTTTTATTGCTGAATTTTTATAGGCGACTGAGTTTTGAGTAGTAATTTGTCTGGTTCTTTGTGTATATACATGGAACAGTAGCCAGATAGGAAAACCACTCTTTGAACAGACATCACAGAGAGATGCACTTAAGATCTTAGCTTAACTTCTGCTGTGCAACATCTGCAGCCAATTTTTATCTTAATTGTTTTACCAGTCAAGAAGTATCATATCCGGCTGCACATATTATCCTATTTTAATATGTTCAACATCATATTTAGGAGGGCAGTTTTTCAAAAGCTTATGTGGGATTTCTGTAAGTAAAATTTAAAATGGCAGTTGTATTTTATTTTACTTTTGTTAAGTACAATTTTCAGGCGTAAAACCTGCCTGTTTTAGTAGTAGTAGTAGTACTTTTACCCCACTAGGACATCACAGAAGCGAAAACACCCGATCACACAAAGTGCCACCATGTGGATTAGGATCATCCGTGGAGAGGTCTCGGAAACCGCGTTCAGCCATTAAGCCATTATAATGACCGGGCTTTATTGCAGCTCCTGGCAAGAGCCAGGGTGGGGCTTCAAAATAACGAAAATTTTCATCTTACAAGGAGATGACTAGAGTAACCTGCCTGTTCACAGCACTGGATTTATGTACTCTCATAGAACCAGTCACATTTGATCTTATCTCATCTCGTTCCTTGCAGTGTCCGGATGAAGAATAAACAGATGCCTGTTTGTTAGATTCATATATTTGGATTCCTAGGGACTCTCATATTTCTTTTATTCATCTCAATAATTTACATGAGCCGGCCTCCAGTTTTTATAGACGTCATTACTCATTGTAGTATACTTTTCGCAGCTGAGTTAATGGCCTTCTGTGTCTTTCTGCAGCTGAGTTAATGTCCTTCTATGTCCTCACTGGGCTGAATGAATCTTCTAGGGAATCTTATTTTAGTTGCTGTAATTTTCTTAGCTCTTTTATTTTTGTCTTTGTGCAGATCTGGCATTTAGTAGTGTACAGTTGGTTTTAAAAAGAATATTTAAGCAACCAGTAAAGACGTTTATTTATCATCAGTTCAACTGGTTTTACTAAACATGCTGCTAGTGAAATGAGGTTGTAAGCATTGTTTTATGTTTTTCTTTTAATACTGGCTTTTGTTTCTTGTTTTTATTTTGTCAGGCTTTTGAATTTTATATTTCTCCAGGTCTGTTTATTAAATCGCCATCACTTTTACAAAACGCACTAGATGAATAAGGGCCTGGAGATTTTCTATGTTTCAGTTCATTTATGGCATATTTTAGGTCATACATTGTTAAGCCCTCATCAAAACTGAAATAATTGACCATTTTTTGCTTTCTGTCCTGTCTCCCCAAGTACCCTAGGTTTTTTCATTTAATTTTGTTGGTTTTTTCTCATCTGCCTTCTTCTGATCTCCTATAAATAGCTGCATTGTTTGTAAAAAAAAAAGGTTTTTTGGCACTTGCACATATGTTGTGCTTATCTTGTCTAATTTAAAACGTGTTTTGACCCATTTATCTCTTTTGGTGTCGAAATGAGCATGGCAGGTCAGTTGAGCCAGCACTCTCATGAGTATTTCCCCAAATATAGGACCCATCTGATTTAAGCACACCTTGATTTTGGGACTGAACATTTGGAGAGAAAAATATAATATGATGAATCAGTTATTGAACTAACGTTTTATTTATCATAGAAATCCATAAAACGCTTCATAACTGTCAAAGCTCTCATCCGTGTGATAGTTCTTTAGCTTGTCCTCATATGTGTCTGGTAATGAATATCACTGTCTTCATACATTGCTTCATCCTTAGTTTCATCGGTTGCATTTGAAATGCCACACTTCTTGAATGACTCGGTTTTTGCATTATCCTATAGCTGGTTTCTTCACACTACCTTCTGGTTTCAAATGTTCCCCAGGAGACTTTATGTATCCCTGAACTTACATTCCTAAATGAGGCCCTGTATGGGATATTTTCTAACAGATAGTTGTACAAGGCACACTGTTTTTAGACACTGTATTTTGTTTAAATAAGTGCATCTTATACTTGGGAAATTATGGTAACTTTCACACTGTGTTAGAAAGTATTAGTCAATTAGTGGTTTCCGTTAATTAGTTGGTTCAGATCGGCTCATCATGGTCAGTTCTGCTCTGCTGATTCTATTTGTGTGTCTATGATCCTGGCCAGGCTTATCTGCTAATGTCTCAGACTGCTTTTGTCAGGCTATAGTGTCTGATGATGTGTGGACTGTTGTGTCATTTGTTCATACTGAAAGTTGTCAGATGAACAGCAAATTGTGTTTTAAATTCAAGTTGTTAAGATTGTTTTGAGTAGTTTAATTTAGCTTTGCTGCCAGATGGCTGCTTATTCACCAGTTGGTGCTAACTATAATAGGCAGTACTGACTAGGCTACATACTGTGAGCGTCAGAGGCCACTGTCTTAATTAATGACTTTCTGAACTGTGTGTATTTGTGGGTGTGTAGTAAACAGCAGGGCTATGCCATGTACTACACCGCAAGCTTGAGCAACTAAACATTGAAGAATTTCTCGTAATTTCAAACAGCTGTTCATCATTTGATCAGATGGCATGACAGGTGTATTTTCATCCATCATCATCATTGTTTTTACCATGCTGGATGTAATAAACTGTTTGATGGTTCACCATGCTGTTTTTGTTGCCGGTTGTATGTTGGATTTTACCCCTGTACTGCCAGCCTGTCTTCTGTGGGAATCCAGTATTGTCATTGTTGAATGTTAAATTAAGAATTGACATCACAGCACTCGGGACACTCCCATAAGTGCTCAGTCCCCATCTTCAGCAGCAAGTGTCATTGTTGTCTAGGGAGCATCTGCATGTGAGTGGAATGAGTCATACACCCTGGACGCTCAGTGTGATACATTGTCTATTGATTGCTTCTAACAGGCTTATTAACTATAAGGTTTACTTTAGTGCATACATTCTTTATTGTATGCAATCTTCATGTCACTGTGAGTTTAATATTTGTGTAGTTTCGGTTTACCTCATTTCTTTCTTATTTTACTGTTGGCAGAATTTTCTAGAAAAGATGACCTTTGAATGATGATGTCTTTTCGGAACTTTTGGCGTCGCAGCTTTGGATCAGGTGATGTGTACAGACCTCCAGAAAAAGATGAACATATGGTTGCTTGTGATACACTTATGTCTGAACTAGACTTTCACATGAAAGAATTAGACAGATCAAAGCAAGAACAGCAGCAAGAAGAGCGCAGAATGAAAACAGGTATCAGTGTTATGCAAGTGTAACATAATGCAGGTTGAAATTGTTGGCACCTTCCCATTTTTACAGATGATAGTTGTTATACTGTGCTGTTGGGAGGTGTGGGAATCACAGCCCATGGTGATGGCAAGTGCAACTAGTTAAGGATAATCTTTCACAGTAAGAGCTCCTGCTGTGGTTTCTGGGGCTCTGTTGTAAGGAAAACAAGAATAGACCCACAGTCTACCCAAAAGGCAAGAGTATGTGTCTAATTTTATACGAAAACGCCGCTGGAACTATGTCGGCCACGCCCTTAGAATGGATAAATCAAGACTTCCTTACCAAGCCCTCATTTGGACACCACAGGGGAAAAGATCTCGTGGAAGACCAAGGGAAACCCTACGTAGAACTATCATCAGGTAAGGCTCGCTCATGGGCCACTCAAACATCCAAGACCTACAACAGATTGCAACGAACCGCCATGCATGGAGAGTCATGACCTCTGCCCTATGTGCCGCACTCGACACAAGAGGAAAGACTAACTAACTAACTAACTACCCAAAATGTCGTAAGAGATGACTAATTGGGAGCTTTCTTTGAAGATGGTGTGCATCTGCCTGAGAGGCAAGGAACCAACAGCCTGCATTCAGTTGAATCAGATCCATAAAATGGATGCACACGCGGCACTCAGGTTCTGGAACAGGACTACAGTCCAGAAGTGGTGAACAACCAGACCTTTCCGTCAGAGTTTACAGCTGGTGGATGCAAAAAAGAAAGAAGATATTAAGAGCATGGGATTACAGGACCGTTGTTGCCGTTACGAATATTTAATGTGCTTCTCAGATGCTCAGCTCTCATCTTTTCTGCTTTTTTATGTTCTTTTATTCCCCGCCCTTCCTGATTTTTCCCCTGCGCACAGCCCAATCCAAGGATAATGAAAATCTGTTCACACAAATCTACCTCATTACCTTTATTGTTCGTGTCCCACTAACACACATCTTAATATCCTAGTGGGGGCCAGCCTCAACATCTTCTACTCATCTGTAATTCACCACAGAGCGGAGCAATTCAGCCAAGTTTACTCAGGAGCCAAATGTTGAAAAGGGGATCATCGCAGGCCCTAGCACAGAAAGATCATTATTACAATACATTTGGCAGGTGATCTGTGGACAACTTGCTAGGTCTCTGTGGGCTAGATTTAGTCCATAGACTGCCAGTTAAATAGCCCTGCCACAGAGGATGACCTTAGAATTGCCATGTCTTTGGTCATGTGTGTGAGTCTTCTGTCATTTGTGTTGCCAGTAATTGTTTGTACAGATATTTCTCCATGACATGTGGGTAGCACTGCAGCTTACAGGTTACAAGTATTTCATAATTTCCCAGTGTTCAACTCACCAGGGTGATTCCTGTAGCAACATTTTGTTTGTTTGTTAATTATATAAATTGTTATCACAGCGTTTGGACAGTCTTTTCTTCTTCTTTTTTATTCTGAGCGTTTATCAGCTGTAAACTCAATGGACAAATAAGCTAGATCTGTAAAATGTTAAATTTTGAATTAAGAATGACATCACAGCACTTGGGACACTCCCATAAGTGCTCAGTTCTCGTCTTCAGCAGCAAGCGAAGAATTCCAATTCCATTGGTACCAGTCTGTAAAATGGAAGTGCATGCAAAACTCAAGTTTTGGCTAGGACTCACGAGCAAAGCTGCAGGAGATGTGGAAGCTGCTGCTCGTGAGTCCAGCCATCCAGTTTAGCCCCAATCCACGCCGTTTGAGGGATACTCGGCGGTGGCGGTAGTCGCCTGAAAACCGCAAATTAAGTAGCCGGAAGTGCACAATTGACATGTGGCTGAGGCTCTGTTAGGGTGTTTTTGCGGCCGCCATCTTTTGTGCCCGTTATTCGGAGGATAGCCCAGGTGCCTTTACTTCTCCCTTCTTAATTGCATTTATCTCTCATTGTAGGCGTTGACTATTCTCGGCTGAGGAAATCATTTCTGTCCTTATGAATGTTGACTATATTCAGGGGATGAAATATGTTCTGTCTTTGTGAATGTAGAATAAACTTGTCTCATGTAATCTTTTATGGTCATGTATGTATTGACTATGCTTGACTGATTATTTATTTTCTTTCCTTGTGAATGCTGACTATACTTGGCTGATGCAATCTTTTATATTTTTAGTTAACATTGACTATGCTTGGCTGATGAAATCCTTTCTGTTTTTGTGAATGTTGACAATACTTGGCTCATAAAATCTTATCTGTTTTTGTGAATGTTAACTGTACAGGGCTTGATTAAGTCTTTTCTATCCTCATATTTGTTGACTATGCTTGGCAGATGAAATTGTTATTTTCCTTGTGAATGTTGACTACTTGGCTAATGTAATCTTGTGCCTCTGTTGGTGAATGTTGGTTATACTTGGCTGATGGGTCTTATGTATGTCTGATATGACCTTTTCTGTCCTTGTGAATATTGACTACACTTGGTCAGTGGAATCTTTTCTGTCCTTGTGAATGTTGACTGTACTTGGCTGATTGAATCTTATATACCTCCTTTATGGTGTTGACCATACTTGGCTGATGAAATCTTGTCTGTCCTTGTCAGTGTTGACTATACTTAGCTGATGGAATCTTGTGTTACTCCTTGTAAGTGTTGATTATACTTGGTTGATGGTATCTTTTTTGTTGTTGTTGTTGTGAATGTTGAATATACATGGCTGATGACATCTTGAATCTCTCCTTGTAGGTGTTGACTATACTTGGCTGATGGAATCACAACCCAAATCCTATGAGATCCCTCAGATGGAAAGGCTTGAGTTGGAAGAGCTTTGCTACAAGGTGTCTGGGTCTGAGTGCACTCAAGTTATATCTTTGTTTAGAGATGCCATGATACGTAGTCCTGCAATGGAAGATTTACCCTATATAATGAGATCTTGTGTAAGAAAAATCTTGGATGAAAGGCCTGTGCAAGAGACTTTAACAGAATGGGTTTCCAGGAGAACGCAGAGTATTGCCAGTTTCTCAGCTTTGTCAAATCTGCGACTGAAACCATCTGGTAAAGTGGTGCCCTCAGCTGAAGTTGAGGATATTGAAATGCAGAACAATGACTTTCAAGACAGGAAAACACGTGCTTTAAGTGTGCCAAATTTTGCTGTGCATAAGGAAGGCGGTGCATATCCATTCTAATGTGCATTCATTTTTTTAAAACATCTTCTAATTTCATTTTTTTACTCTATACCCCTATTTTTTCTTCCTTCTTTCTTCTGTTTCATCATCATCACTTTGTCTGTCCCTCAACATAGAGCCATCTGTATAGATATAATCACATCACTTGGGCAGGAATTGTCATAAATCATTTGTTGATCTTCTGATTCTGCAGTGCCAACTGGCCAGTCCCTGCACTCACGACCCAAAGTGATAAGAACCCTGCACAAATCTCTTGCTCTGACACTTTAACCCACTCCTCACCTTGCACAAATTTATCAAGCCTGCACACATGTCTGATTGTGTCTTCAGCTTGCCCCATCTAAGACCTTCTGATTTTCAGTCTGTGACCCTTAGATCTACCCAGGGCTTCATGCAAGAGGTGATTCTTGTCTGCAGCTACTGCTTGTAAAACTTTGAGCCTATCTGCAATAGTAGGCAGTGCTAGTATGTGTTGCATACATACTACCAGGTTATCTGTTGTATATCTCAGAATTACATGCATGGCTTCATTCTGTATGCGTTCAAGTTTCGCCAGCTGACTGTAGTGAGTATTCCAAGCCTATAATCCATCACCGACAGGATCACATGCTGGAACACTGTGAATAGCATTCTTTGTTCCATGTCCATTGCTGCCATAATCTTGAAAGCATTTGAGTCCTTTTTTGGCATGATACCTGAAGGACAGGCTTCTATAAAAAATGATACCTAGGTATCTCAGTTTGCTTTCTCTTTTGATGTTACTGTTATTAATTGTGAGGCTTGAAACATTAACTCTTACAATTCTATTGTCCAGAGAGCATCACAAAACAGTCAGCTTTTCTAAGTTTATGACTGTACCCATTTCTGCACACCAGTCAGTCACTTTGTCTACAGTTGCCTGTAGCTCTTGGGCTATCTGTTGCCTATTACTCCCCTGCCTGTATGCAAGAACATCATCAGCAAGTATCAGTATCCTTCCAGCACCTGGTGCTTCAAGTTTTGCAATCTGCTTGTATACACATTGAAGAGCACTGGGGAAATAGCAGAACCCTGGAGTAGTTTAGAATATAAATCTCTCCAAAAAAGCTTCCCCCTTCTCTTTGTCTATTGTCATTGGCTTGTCATTATCAGTGTATATAATGACTGTTGTGACTTGCTGATCCTTCCTTTGCATCTGTCCTAAAATACTAAATAAAAACTTGTAAACACAAAAGTAGAAAAAGCAAAAATATATTGTTTGCACTACGTCAAAATGTGGAATCCTTGTACTTTCATCCCTATGGACCAGGATTTATGAATTAATATGAAATTGCTAGTCATTAAAAGGCTTTATTGTGAATGTGTTTAGCTTGAAACATCTTCATTAAATTTTTTTAATCATTGATTTTTATATAATTTATTGGGACACGTGTGTTTAAATTAAAATTAATAAATGTGCGGGGGGGGGGGGGGGGGGGGGGGGGGGGCTGCTTCATGGATCCCTTGGTCATAAAAGGGTTAAACATGATTTTTCAGCATCATGAAATTGTTTGTAGAATTTAAATTATATGATATTGTTTTTGCCACTCATTCCAGTTTATGCATAATGTCTTGTGGGTACTTCTGATAGAGTTCTCAATGCTGTGTACTGCCAGTTATAAAGTTATTTGCATCTCTACTTATATTTATATACTACCAAATTTATTTTTCCAATAAAGACGGGTTGATGTGTCTTAAGACACACACAAATTTTAATTGCAAGCAAATTTTTTTTATTCAATTTTGCAAAGATTAGAATTTAATTGCTTGCTTTTCATTGAGTTGTCTTTCAGCATGTTGCCAAACTGATGTTGTTTTGTTTCATTTTTGTGTGTGGATAAAACATAGTTTGATCATTATGCTTCCCTAATTTAATATTTTGTTTATTGTTCATCTCATTATCCCAAAGTTATTTGGTTGCTTAATTTGTTCCTTACTCTTGTACTTAAGAGAAAATATATTACAGTTTTGGATTTATCTTTTTTAAAAATTTGTTAATTGATAAGTTATTGCATTTCTAATGTAGGACTGGTTGTCTTAGCACTCTGATGGCTGCCTTATGTTTATAATCTGTGTATATGCTTTTGAATATGCTGAGATATATATCAGTTTTTCCACAAAAGACAATGATGGACATTCTGTTTTTTGTTGGCACAGGATCGGAGCTTATAAGAGCTCATAAGAGATTATGAGGTCCTAATTTCCCACTAGTATTAATGCTTTCCTGGCAACTAGATTGTAAGATCAGGTATGCGTCCTGATGTACAAATTTATTTATGGTCAAAGAGAGGTAAGCCAGTTAATTGTCTGCTGCATTTTTGTTTGCTGATTACTCTTTTTATTCTGTATGTAATTTAAAATTTGTTTTTGTTCCATAAATAAAACAGTTTAGACTTTTGTATGTGATCTATGTAATATGTTATTTTCAAAGGATTGACTGGGTAAAAAGGGGTGGGGGGAGAGATCAGTTTCAGTAGCCATTTCTTGCGAACATTATGTCTTTTATTGTTGCTTATGTAAATTATTTTGTAAATTTTTTTTTTATGACTTATTCAAGCGAATATCAAAATTGGCAGATACCTACTGCATTAATTATGTAAATGTTCCATATTAAGTGTGCTGAGCAGCGGGGTAGGGTAAACTCTGCTTACAGATGATGTGAGGTGCCTCCTTCCTTCCTCCCGCCAGCTTGTTGGTACTTCATGAACAGGAGTGGAGTACCTGTCTAGCACCCCCCCTCCCCTCCACAGCTAATGTGATGCGCCCCCTTTCTTCCTTCTGCCAGTTTGGTACCTCATGAACAGAGGTAAGTACCTGTCTAGCCCCCTCCCCTCCACAAATAATGTAAGACACTCCTTCCTTCCTTCCTTCCGCCAGCTTGGTACCTCGTGAACAGGGTAGAGTACCTGTCTAGCCCCCTCCCCTCCACAGATAATGTAAGGCACTCCTACCTTATTTCCTTCAGCCAGCTTGGTACCTCGTAAACAGGGTAGAGTACCTGTCTAGCCCCCCCCCCCCCCCCTCCCCTCCACAGATAATGTAAGGCCTTCCTTCCTTCCGCCAGCTTGGTACCTCGTGAACAGGGTAGAGTACCTGTCTAGCCCCCTTTTCCCCTTTCCTCCATAGATAATGTGAGGCACCTCCTTCCTTCCGCCAGCTTGTTGGTAGCTCATGAATGGGGTGGAAAACCTGTCTAGCCCCTCTCCTTCTTTACCCAACCAAGCTTCAAGTCATGACAGACAAGTGATGGAAACAAGTGATGAGCAACTGAATTGTTTTCAAAGCTGGTTACCTTTTTAGCTGTGCTAGCCAAATGTCACTATAGGTGCAATGGCTGAAGCATGGGCACTGCCCTCACAAAATGAAATTGCAGCATACTGTATGTATGTGAAGAAAATCTTCTCACCTCACAAGACAGAAGGCTGCGGATAGTTATGATGATTAACACCACATGGCATTGATTAGTAGAAGAACAAGAATTATGTTAATAGTTTATGGGAATTGTAAAAAATTGTTTAGCGCCTGTGGCTTAGGCATTGCGAACACGCTTCATATTGCCAGAGTGACGAGTTCGAATCCAGCTGCGGGCCTTGCCTTGGTTTTGACAGTAGTATTGAGAAGCTGACCGTCCAGATAGCAGTGGCAAACTACTGAATGTAAATTTGCTTAGAAAAACTACAACAGCCGAAAAATGCTGGTGTTGGTTCTGCAACATCCTGTAAAGGATACACAACTAACTTTGTATATTTGAGAGTCTCTATGGTGTAGCGACTGGATTCTAGCCTGCAGATCTGAAGGTTGTGGGTTCAGATCCCAACAGAGCCAGACCTATTTATTAAAACTGACCATGGCTGACAAGTTTACCCAGCCTTAAATGGGTATCAGGTAAAAGTCCTGGGAAGTAAATGGGGCTGGCATGATGTTGGTACATAAAATATAGGTATAGTTCTATATACCCAATATGCCCGAAAGCATGGAAAATAGTTTTTGTGGTATATATATATATATTTATATATTTAAACTTTTGTTGATATAATTCCTGACTCTGTTGTATTGTACTGTATCATGGTTTTAATGTTATTTATTGCATAATAATGTTTTTTATGTTGTTTTTGTTGTTGTTGGTGTGATGTCACACCATAAAATATTGGATGCAAATGAAGATGTAATTATTACAGCAAGGAAGCTGTCAAAATCTAAGTTGTGTATCCTGATTTCATTTTCCCATTGCAAAACTTATGACTGTTGTATGCTTGTATATTAAAATAAAAAATAAAAAAATTCTATTTATATATTCAAAGCAGTGTTTCCCTAATGTGAATTTGAACAAAGAAGACACAAACAATAGAGTGCACAATTTATTGCCTGGCATATTTTGCTGTATCTCATCAGGTGTATACTACAGTAACATATATTACTTATATATTTTGTCTGAGATAACCGTGCAGCTTATATAATATATAGTTACATATTAAATATATTTGTGAGGTAATATTTTATTACATGTCTTAGGTATTTAATTTTCTGTTCTTTAGTTTGGTCTCATGCAGGTGGTGTCGTTCCTTAGAGCCTGATATCTTTACTATTTTAAAAAACAAAATGTTCAACAGCCTGTGAAACTTAAATTTTAGAAAATAAATATTTGTAATCTGGAGAGCACTTGTTCTTCTACAGGCTTTCGTTTTCCTTTCAACAATTCCACCTTCAGAATCCACTAGAGTTGTTCAGAATTCATCTTAGATATTTCATTTCTGTTTTTTCACTTTTCTATTTTTGTGTGTTAGTCCATCCAACTTAGATAGCATCGACCATGAGGCAGATCAAGAAGGTGGTTGGAAAGATAACATGCATGCAAATCTTTATTGGAGCCAATGACTGGAAAGAGTAGGCCAGTCACAAAGATGACTGGGGGTGACATCAAGGGCTCAGGATGCTGAAGAAGACAGTATCATGTTGATTAAGAAAACTGAGTTGAACATTTT